GCTCAGACTTAATGAGCAGCGACTCGTTTGAAGCCTCCGGACGTTAGAAGAACTGCAGCTCGTGTTTTAATGAGAAATCTGCTGCTGTTCTCGTCACAAACTGATGTTTACAATGACAGGAAGAAGAAGTCGGGGATTCTGGCAGCAGATAAAAATCTGTTTCTGTTGTTGTTGAACTTTAACTCCTGAGTCTGCTGATAAATCTGAAGCTTCTCCAAACACGCTCAGCTGTTTTCATGCGTCTTGTTCAGCCGGCGTGACTCTGTGACGTGTTTCTTAGCATGTTGGACTCTGTTAACGTTACTCCGCCTCCATCCAGCCTAGATAAGGCAAACACAGAGAGAGCAGCGCGTTGTACCCAGATTAATGCAATAAAGAGTTTTTATTGTCGCCGACGTGCTCGGGCTGGAAAAAGTGCTGCTTCTCGTTTAACACGTGGACACAGAAGAAACATCTTTAGCTCAAAGTCAGCAGTGAAAGTTGTTTGTTCAGAGCTGGTTAACATTTGCTCTCCTTCCTCGTCCTTTGAAAGCGTGTCGCTCGTGGCGAAGCAGCTCTCCATTTATGGAGATGTGAGTGAGCTCACGTCGTGCAGCTGTTTAGTCTCTGCATCGACATCAGAAGCAGCACAAGCATCAGCTGACAGGGAAGTAAAAACACATGTTTTTAAAACCTGAATATTCTTCATGGATTTTCTTGGAATAAGTCTAAACGTCTTAATTCTTTCCTTTGCGGCAGTAAAATGTTAAATTAATATTTAAATGATTCTAATTAGAATAATTATTTCCCAAACTTAATGTTCCTTATGTTTTGGTCTCCAGCTCTAACACACCACAAAATGATCATTTGACTAATAATAATCAAACTAATCTGAGTGTTTTATTCCAGCGGTCAGAGCAGGAAACTCTCCTGCAGCACATCTGTGGAGCAGGAAGGTCGAGGGTTTGATTCCCGACACTCAGCAGGAGCAAACTTTCTTCCTTCTGTCTGAATGTAAGTTTTAGGTAAGATAGAAAGTGCAGTCAGTGTCCCTTTGGCTGTGCTGCTGTCACTCCCACACAGAAAACAACACTTGCTGTGTTCCCGCTCTGACAGACGTCCTTTATGAACGCTGTGAGACGGCCCACGATGCATTGCGGTAGTCGTACAGTAAGCCTGACAGCTGCAGCTCGCTGTGCTTGGGTAACGTTATCAGAGACTCAGCAACTCAGAGTCGCTGGATTTAAAAATTCGGATCAGCAGGTTGAGCTCACAGCTGTCAAACATGCACATACCCACGCCACGGCGCCACACCCACCTCCTATAGGTGGTGTCAGTGTGGATTTATTGTCTGGCACCAAATATAGACGTTAGTCGGAGTTGCAGCAGCGCTGAGCACATTCTGCAGGCTGTTTGAAGATGGCGGGCAGATGGTTTGCATGTTTAACAGCTCTCACATCAGCAGGTATTCAAACGAGTCCAACGCCACAGCTCGTGTGTGCATTTCACTCCACCCCCCCCAAAAACAGTTCAACATTTCCATAAAGACGAGTCAGAGTGTGCACAAGCAAATCCACCAATCACAGGGAAAAGGTGGTGACCATGTTTGGGCATCGCGCCTCCAGTCGTCAGCAGGAGTCGGTCCAGAGTGCACCCGCCGGTTACTGGTGGACGGTTATCAATCACTCAGAGCAACACACACAGGTAGCTCGATGAGAGCAGGTGGTAACTCGGGGCAACCAAACATCCAAATGAAGCTCTACAAGCTGCAGTTCCTCTCACGTCCACTAGAGGCTCCCACGTTAAACCTTTATTGCAGAAATAAACATGTTTACAGCTCGATGCACAAACTGT